ATATAAAAACTGAACAAATGTTAATCAAAAGCACCTGGAAGATTGTGTGCAAGGAACTAGTTAACCTCAAGAGGGCAAAACCTTCGAGAATAATCACCGTCCAGATCACCGAAAGTCTGCATTAAACAGAATTTGCCTAAAACGCATGCAATACAAGTTTTAGGTAGGCAAAAGTATAAAAATGTATCTTATTTTTTTCATAAATACATGCAATGTTTCTATAGCTTATGAGCCAATGTAGGATTAACAAAATAAAAGATCTTTGTACATAATAAAAATTCAAAATTTATTGTTTGTACATTACAAAAAAAAATATCCCACAGTACATTACTGTTAATTAAGAATTTTAAAAAGGAGAGAAACGTTAAATTCTAAACAGGACTTTCCTGGGTTAATCCCATCTGGATTAACTGGACATCCAGACAAGTGGGGTCCAGATCGGTGGGACTCTATTGTATGCGCTCCATTGTTACATGACATACAATTGGCAACTTTTTCATCATGATAGAATAAGTCAATGAAGAATAGAATCCAAGACTTCATTCCAAAAGCAAAGGTTTTTTTTTTTTTTTCAATAATAAAACTAAAGAGTTTGTTCAGATTTTTAACTCCTTATTTCAGACAAAGTAAAAATACTGCTAGCTTTTTTTCGCATGAACAGAATTACCGACATACTTCTGATCAGGATTTGGACAAATGTTAACTTTTGAGTTAATGGTTTTCAAATGCGAGTATTGAAAGATTTAAAGAGGAAGCTTTTATTTCATACTATTCACACTGTGCTGTAAAAATTTAAACTTGCACATAAATCAGCAAATATAAACTCATGTACAGCAAATAAAGTTACCCCCGAGCTCTTCCCACTATGTCTTTCTTTTCCAACCACAGCTGGCCGGGAGCGTAAAGTCCTCGATCGTCAACAGAATTGTTATCTCCCTTGGTGAGAATCTTTACTGTACCATTATTCCTGAAAAAAATATACACAATTAAATTGATATTCTTCTTTCATCCAGTTTTGTTTATAATACGAGCACATAGATTACTTCATTTAAAAAAAACATTCTAAGTAACGAAGAACAGAATTGCACAGAATATGGAAAAAAACCAAACATTCCCTTTGGCTTTCTCTTATACATACATGATATGCCATGTTTTGCACTTTGTGACTTTTCCCCTTGAATGATCGAGTAAAAAATGCAGATCTGTAATTTTGGTGACAAGATCAAATTTCTTTTCTCTTGATTGTTGCATTCAGTTCTCATATTCACATTCGTAGAAATACACAGACAGTCAGTGGGTGGGTTTGATCCAAATCTACACTCCTTGTCATAGCCACAGAGTTTTTAAATCATTTTATTTTATTTTTCCCTTTCATTATCTTTTTAACTGTAACTTGCTTCAACTGTTAATTGAACAAGATGTTCTGTTTTGATTTTTTTTTTAAAAAATAAACTAGTAAATAAACATTTGGGATAGAACGAGTGACTTTAATTCTTTACATTTTTTTTATTTTTTTATTTTTTATTCTAGTAAATATTTAAGGCCATGGTGTTTCAAAACCATTTTTCTGCTGTGAATTTGCAGTTGTAGATATACCGATAGCATAATGAGCTATTTATTTTACTAAGGATAACAGAAAACTCCTAGTATTAAAATTATATTCCAAATTTTATCCATCTAGTTCTTTGCATTTTTGATTTATTGTGTTTATATGGTCAGACAGAGACTTCCAAGCAAGAAATCAAAATTTCAGTTTCATCTAAAGTTTGATAGAAATCTACAATTTTGTTGTAAAGACAACATAATCAATAGGAACTGTAATCAAACTAGGAATAGCAAACAAAACTAGATTTCAAATTTAATCCTTCCAGCTTGCTGCATATTTGAATTATAATGATTACAGACAGACCTAATCCCAAAAGTAATGTTTTGAGACTCTGCGATTCCTAAAATGTGAAGATTCATCAAATTCTCCAGCTTAAATTTTTTGGTAATTCCAATACTTTCTCTTTGTATGCAAGAAAGTAAAAAATATGATAGTTAAGACAGTTTTGAATATTTACTGCCATTGCAAAACATTTTTTTTTTTTTTAACCAGAATTTTAGTACGGCTGGGCAACACTGGAAAACTCACAAATAACTTCTTGAGAAAAAAAATACTTTTTTTTCATATCTTACTCATTTTACAGAATTCCAAGAATAGAGATTCTTCTGTCAAGTTTTAGCAATCATGTTATATAATGTTTCATATAAGAAACAAATTTTTAAAGTTTTAGAAAAGTTTTATAAAACGCGATTAAAATTATTATACAATTCAATTATACAGTAGAACCCCTAGAATCCGAACTAAATGGGGCCGACCTCAGTTCGGATTCTGGGGAATTTGGATTATCCAGGATATTCGGTAAAATACTCTTGATATACCAAATGCAATAGAATATTGAGTCTGAGTGCTCTGTGAAGGCGTACGGAAAGAGCATGCGGCGATTCGCATGGTACAATGGCAAAGAAGTTGAGGGTAAAAAAAAGATATCCGATTTTGTTTCTACTCATTAAGGTGCTGGTTAATCCAGCACCTTATGAATACAGCACCTTAATTACATTAGCTTTGTTTTGGAATCGTAATTGTTATTTTTCCTTCATTTTTCAGTAAAAAATTGTCAGAAAATTAAAAAAAGGTGTTTGGATTATCCGGAATTTCGGAGTTCGAGGGTTCAGATTTCCCAGGGTTCTACTGTATATCATGCTGTTAATAGGTTTATAGGTTAAAGGGCTTTTGAACAATAAAATAAGCAAATGAAATGACCCAGAATGCACCTATTCTCATTACTTTTCATGTATCTTGAGGACCCTGTGAACAATAGGTATATCTCGTCCTTCAACTTTAAAAACAACTATATCTCCCACTCGAACAGGATCTTCTTTGTGATTGGTCAAAAACAAGAGATCGCCTCTGTGAAAAGCTGGCTCCATGCTTCCACTAGAAGATGAAAAAATTATAAAACATGTTAAAAATAAAATATTTCTTTAAAAAATAATAAGAAGCTGTTAACTTCTAAACTTTAATTATACAAGGATCAATAGAAAAACAACAACATACAAGAAGTTTTACTCCAAGACAAATTACTTTGGAGCAAATTTTTTCTCCACTGATGGGCAACAGATGGTACTAGATGTTCCAGTGTAGTTGCTGGCAAAGTTCATTGAACTTCAGATGAGTTATAGCAATTGAAATATCAAGACATGCTGAAAAGTGGTCTTTTGAAGTGTGAAGCACAATATAGTTTTTATGGGCCAAGAATGTTTTTGTATGCGAGATTCACTGTCAAATCATTGAAGTTTATGCTGAAAAATTCATAGAATAATACAAAGAATTTTTTATGTGTGTAATTTTTTTATCTTTATTATTTAACACTACTTTGAAACATAAATTTCTGGCTATAAGCAGATTCTACAAAAGTCCAATTCTTTTAAAAAGATCTGTTTAAGAAATGTATTTAAGCCTTAGTAAAAATGGTAACATTTTGATGCAAGCTTGTACTGTGTGCATCAGAACAAATGGAAGTTTAAAAGGACAACACTTGGAGAAAAAGCAAATGCAGCATTATATTTTTCAGCCAAATACTTCCTATATTAACTGGTACTTTTCCGTTAACAGAACATCAATCCTTGTCGAGCTGAAATGTTGGTCTATTCCGTTTTTATATCAACATTCATCATGAAGAAAACTATTACTTTTTGACAAATTATCACAAAGATTTGGTGATCTGTCACTAAGATTTGTTAGTTTTTATCTAAAGTTCGATTAACAGAAAAATACCCATTCCCATAATAAGTTTTTCAACATGAGAATTTGTGTTATGCAATAAAAATAAACATGATATTTGGCATATTCTGAATAAACTGTACAGTACATAACAGTGGTGACTACAGAATTCCAGGCTAATATGTAATTATGTGGTTTCCATTATTAAATGTCCAATCATCATACAGTAGAACCCCGGGAGACCTAATTGGGGCTGACCCTTGTTCGGATTCCAGAGAATTCGGATTATCTGGGAAAATAAATAAAATACTCTTAATATAACCAAATGCAGTCGAGTATTCACTCTGGGTGCTCTGTGAAGGTGTATGGAAAGAGCATGTGGTGGTTTGCACAATACAGTGGCAAACAAATTGAGGGTTAAAAGAAGATAGCCAAGTTTGTTTCTACTCATTAAGGTGCTGTATTTATTCTTAACGACCAATTTGAATACTTCTTTTAAGTTATTAATAAACATTAGCTTTTTTTCTGATTCATAATACTCATTTTTCAGTAAAAGTTTTTCAAAAAAATTTTAAAAAGGTGTTCAGATTATCCGAAATTTCGGATTCCTGGGGTTCGGATTTCCAGAGTTCTACTGTATTTATTTTTAATAGAGCAAGAGATAGATGGTTTGTATTTTAACCAAATATCATGTATTGAATTTTTAAGCCCATTTACAGTATTGTTTGCAAAGGATTAGAGTAAATTACATTCCAGTACTTATACAATCTATTAGCAAATAGTAAGAGATCTTTGCAAGGACTTATTATAATTTTTGCAGTATGTAGGCTAGCTAATATAAAAGGAAATTTATAGTTCCAAAAGTTGTAACACAGAAAAAAAAATAATGATTTTCATAGCATAGCTTTTCATTATAAACTAGAAAAGAGAAAACATTCAGAAACATACGTACCTTAAAACTACAACAATTGGACTTTCACTACCTGTAACTACCATTAATCCCTTCCATATCATTAGAGCTGATGAAACTATCATACCAAAATTTAAAAACTGGTACAAAAGCTGCAAAAAAATTGATACATTATAGAAACTTAAAAACAAAATTTACTTTTTTTTTTGGCTACATTATAAATATCCAGAACACCTAAAAGATATAAGAATGCTATTTCACACTTATGCAATATAAATAAAAGCCACATAACAATAGTATACTGTCCGTCCACCACTGCCAAGAGCCATACCATGCTGAAAGCACCGGTTCTCCTCTGATCACCACAGTTAAGCAGCATCAGGCAAGGTCAGTACATGGGAGGGTGATCACCTGGGATCGCAGTATGCTGTTGCCATCTTTTTAAATTTTCAGGTACAGGGACATGGCGCGGCATTCTGTCTGTCCACCACTAGAACTATCACCGTGAAATTGTCTAGTTTACGGCAGTCACTATAGTAACTGGTTATGCTAGGGAAGATCCATTTCGAATAGGAGGAATCCAACGGAAGTCAGAGGTTTTTTATTCTTGCAGAGGAACACGTTTGAATGAACTTCTACCTACTAGAAATGGATTCTTCCTATGATAACTTGTTTCTATAGCGACTGCCGCAAACTAGACAATTTGGCAGCAACAGTTCTCATGGCGGACAGACAGTACCTATCTGTGAATTAAATTTTACTCTAAATTTCCTGATTTTACTCTAGATTGCTAACCTAAAATTGTCAATTATGTGCAGAAAAGTCATTTTACATGCTTTTAAAAATATATTTTAAGAAAAATTCTTTCTTTTTTATATATAAAAAGAATTATTGGAATTGTTAAAAAAATGTCACCTCAAGATGATGAATCTTCACATTTTAAACATCCTTAGGTCTGAAAAAGCCATTTTTAGAACTATGTCAGTTCGTCTGCGAACAAAATAACTCTTAACACGCAACCAGCTAGAAAGGTGAAAACTGAAAAAGGACTCTTTATTATTAGAATTGTAAATGTGTGTCAGGTTTTGAACTAAATACGGTTAATCACTTCTCAGTCTGTTGATTTGTGTGCATATGAATGTGATAATTCAAAAAATGCAAGAACTTAGATCAGTGTTTCCCAAACTTTTTTGTGCCATGTCCCACCTAAGCCTTTCTAAAATTCTTAAATGTATTGTAATATACAAATAATTTTTAATATTCAAAAATTGAACTGTTCACTTAAGAAACTTAAATGAAAGGTTTCAGGAAGAAATTACTAGGAAATGTTAAGAACACAATAAGTAAATTTTCAAAACATATAATGGAAAACTAAAATTCAAGTACAAAGTAATTTTAATGAAATATTTTTTATATTACTTTAATTATTAGTAACTAGCAGTACGCGCACAGCGATGCCCGTGGAATCAGGACTTCAACAAAATAAAAAAAAAATCGCCCACAATGACACGAAAAAGTTTTCAAAACAAAATCAAAACAAAAGATACACATTATAGATTTTCCCGCTTATTTTTTCCGCGATAATAACATGTAGAAAAACAGTACAGAGTACATTAATCCAAAACAATATAAAAAAATTGTTGCCCGTGGAATCAGGACTTCAACAAAATAAAAAAAAAAATTCTTAGAACATGGCTCCGAAGGTTATGACGTCACCTGACCCTTCATCCAATCAAATTGAAAGCTGCGTTCCGGAAGGCTATCGCTGAAGAAATTTCGCTCGACAAAAATAACTTTCATCTGCCCAGGAATAATTTAATTTAAAAAAAACGGGAAAAGATATTTTAACCGTTCTTGTTTTAAATCAGAGAGAACCGTTCTAGTTATAAGCTGAAAAAAATTGAAAATAATAGTGTTATTAGAAAGTCGGATGCAACAAATTCAAAAACAAAACTAAAATTTAGGTGGTGAAACTGACTATTTTTTAAAAAATTCTCAAAATTCAGTAAATTACGTTAGAAATTCAAAACTAATTTCATTAGAACGGAAATCGCGTGCTCTTTCCGATGGTCTATCTCTTTTTGTCGTACAATTATTCGAAACCATTCTATTGATAAATTAGTGCGAAAAATCAACCAAAACAACAGAAAACATTAAATAAAAAAATTTCTAGATTAAAATTTAAAATTTCGGCTTCGAGATGCATTCAGTCACCATTACGACTACCTGTGTACCAAATTTCATGGCTGTAAGTGCGATAGATTCGTCTGGACATCGCCGACAAACACACACACGCGCACACAAACATTGCCTTTTATAAGTATAGATAATTTATTATTTCAATTTAGTGAGATCCTTGTGCTTGATGCAAAGCAATCTTATGTTAAGTTGCAATTTAATTAGCTCAGGTTCCATGTCGAATCAACACAGTTTTTGAACAAAATATACCTCACCATCTCAGATTTTCATGAAATTTGGCAGAGATGTACTATTGATATAGACTTGGAAAAATACCAAATTTCATCAAGATATGTGGACTCCTTTTTGAATTAAAGCAATGTAAATTTTCAAAAATTTGCCCAAAAACAGCTGTTGCGTCGATAGCAAACATGACTCAAAAATACTCAAATCTAGCAAACTGTAAATTTATTAAATTCATAACGGACGCTCTCTGTAGAGACAACCGTTAAACTCAGCGTTACAACAAAATCTCACATACACAGGAAATCGGCGAGGCAGAAGCCTGCACAAGAAATCAACAAAAACAAAAAACAAACTCTTTGGGACCAATCACAGGAGTCCAGCACCCCCATCCGGTCTTACGCCGAGTGGTTGAAGAGCTAGACTTTCTGTGGAGGGAAAATCAGAGACCGTTGGTTGATTAAACATTCCGCCGGCCGTTGACATGTTTACATTCAACTAATTGTTCAATATTTAAATTGAAATAAAAATATAAATTCCAACACATAAATTCAAATTAGAAATCAATATTGCACTTGATTAAATAAAAAAATAATAATAAAGCAATTTTATAAGGTGAAAAAAAAAACACTATAATGAAATGACAAATACACTTCTAAAAGCACAGTACACTACAAAATTATAATTTTTCAATTGGCAATAAACATACCTTTGAATATAGGTCTTTTGAAGAAACCTTTTTGTGTTTTCACACCCACAACTCTAATTTTGTCATTTCCTGGGAATAACTCAACTATTCTTCCCAATGGCCAATTGCAAACAGCCATATTATCTTCCTTTATAATAACTAAATCCCCAATTCTGACATTATTCTTGTCAAAAAACCATTTACCACGTTGTTGTAAATTACAAAGATAATCATTTGACCATCTTTTCCAAATAATTTGAATCATTTTAGTTAATTTTTGCCAAATTTTTAATCTACATTCAGGAATTTCAAATAAATTGGGTTCTACAATTGAATTAATTGGTCTTCCTATAAGAAAATGAGCTGGAGTCAAGGCATTCCAATCCTCTATGTCAGTAGTCAAAGGAACAAGAGGTCGGGAATTCAAGATACCTTCTATTTGTGTTGCCACAGTTAGAAATTCTTCAAAAGTTGATTTTGAATTGCCCACAACACTTTTTAAATGATGTTTGAATGACTTCACTCCAGCTTCCCAAAGACCACCGAAATTTGGGGCCCTGGGGGGAAGGAATTTCCAGTCAATACCTTCACTGGACAAATAACCAGATAAAACTCCGTCTGGGTTTTTCACCATGCTATGCAGTTTTCTCAATTCTTGATTACTCCCAACAAAATTAGTAGCATTGTCTGAAAACAATTTAGAGCATTTCCCTCTTCGAGAGAAAAATCGCTTTAAAGTTGCAACAAATGCTTCAGATGTCAATTCAATTACAAGCTCTAAATGAACACATTTCGTCACAAAACAAATAAAAAGAGAAACATAGATCTTTTGACACACTCCCTTACGTTGATTTTTATATTTGATCGAAAATGGACCAGTAAAATCTACACCTGTACAGTTAAAGGGAAAATTGGCTGTAACTCTTTCCTTGGGAAGAGCTCCCATTAACTGCTCACAGACTACTGGTTTTGTTTTAAAGCAAGTCACGCATTTATGTACAATTTCTCTACAAAGTGTTCTACCATTTAAAGGCCAATATTTTTGACATACATGAAACAATAGGGATTGAGATCCAACATGCAAATTCATTCTATGGTAATACTGCAATATCAAATGAGTTACTCTACCTTTAGAAGGTAATAGATTTAGGTATTTTCTATCAGTACTCAAGTCGCTATTACCAAGTCTTCCTCCAACTCGTACAAGACCGGTAGTATCAAGAAAAGGGTGTAGATTTCTCAATTGACTCTCTTTACTTACCTCACCATTTTCTCTAACAGAATTTACATCTTTCACAAAGTGCTCGTTTTGCACCTGCTTTAGTACAAACAATTCAGATACCTTTAACTCACCAGACTCTAATGGACCTTTTTTCTGTTCACTCTTGTTTTTGCAATTATTTATGAACCTGTAAATATAACTTAGAATACGGATTATTTTACAATAGTTATTACTTAGATCAATTAAACAATTAGCAAAATTATTAACACCATCACTGAACACAGAAAAACACTTAGAGTCACTGTAATTGGAGTTCTTAAGTTCATTAGAAAAGTCATTTTGGATAACAGTTGACGGAATATCTCTTTTTGGATAGCTGTCATGGGTTAAAAACTCAGGACCACTCCACCAGAGAGAACTTTCGAAAAGTCTATCCGGATCCACACATCTCGAGATCAAGTCAGCGGGGTTATTGTGTGAGGACACATGCCTCCACTGATCAACGGCTGTGAGTTTCTGTATTTCTGAAACTCTGTTGGCTACAAACATTTTTAAGTAGCACGGTTCCTTTTGTAACCAACACAGTACAATCATCGAATCCGACCATAAAAATGTGTTGGTTATATCCAATTTCAGTGCAGAAATCACTCTAGTTACTAACTTTGCTAGTAGCACAGCTGAACACAGTTCTAGTTTCGGTATGGGCAGGCGTTTTATAGGCGAGACTCTGGATTTACTGGCTATCAATTTGATGGACACTTCACCAGATCTTGAACGAGATTTGCAATATACAGCTGCACCATAAGCTGCCTCACTGGCATCCGCAAAGCCATGTATTTCGATCAAGTCCGGTTTCGGAAGCAATATACATCTGTCAACTTCAATGTCATTGACATTTTGAAGAGCTGATGAAAATTGTAGCCACTCATCTGCTTCTTTTGCAAGAAGAGGATCGTCCCATTTTAGGTTCAGCAACCATAACTTCTGCAAAAATATTTTTGCTTTAGTGACCACTAGACCCAGAATTCCAAGTGGATCGAAAACTCGAGCTATAGTTGACAGTACTAGACGTTTTGTCACACCAAACTCCTCGCTCACAA